CTTGATGACTGCCATTCCAATTAGAGTGAAATGAAATCTCAGTGTAGTTTTGGTTTGCATTTTCCATAAGTCCTAACAATATATTCATATATATTTGTTGGCCATTTGTCATATAGGCCTTTCTGAGGTTGAGAAAGTTGTCATTTATTCCTCATCTGCTAAGAGATTTTTGTCAAGAATGGATGTTAGATTTTATCAAATATTTTTTTCCACCTTTATTGAGATTATTATATGTCTTTTCCATGTTAGGTTGCTAATATGATGAATTATTGCCCTGGTTCCTTTGAAACAGAAAAATTTCCTTCTGATTTACACCACAAGTCTCCAAAAGGCTCAGAATGGACAGTGTCAGGTACTTTCAGAAGAAAAAAAGTCACCATAATAAGGATTGTTTGGAAGATTTAATAAACAGCTTGATTATTAGTCCCTATTCCCACTCTAAGTTAATGGGTGGGTAACAGTCCTTTCTTCCCTACAGCACAAGGAATCAAATCTGAAGTTATTAAGAAAAAAAAAAGTCCATGAATTGGGAACACCCAGCACTATTTGAGGCATGAATACCATACAGGGAAATTATAGTTACCATATGCATATTGGGTTCTGAACACCCTAATCCCAATGTTGAAATCCTGAAGGATAAAAATTCTTGTCTAAAATCCAGAAAGATCAAAATCTCAAAAATATAATTCTGAAAAAATAATAAAAATTTGACTTTTTTTATACTTTGAAAGAACATTTGAGAAACAAAAACAATAGATTCCTTTAAGACTACCTTTCATATTAAAATAAGCAATATCATACATCAATACTCAGAGAAAAAATAGTTATATGGATGTAACATTTATTAGCCCAAAACTGTACTCATAAACAAATAGATCAAAAAGTGAGATATAAATATGTATCATTATCATTGGTAAGCACGTGAAACCAGCTTTATAGCTGTGGTCATCTGAAATACAATGGGTGATGGACGACCTAAGTCTTCTGAGGAAATAAATCAAAACCTGCTGAGTCAACACCATAACACATGCAATCACACAGAACTGAGATCTTGAGAAATTTTATCTTTCACAAATGCAGTTGTAAAAAAAAAAAAAGACAACTCTTCATTTACTGAGGTACTGAGGAAGTTTCAAAGTTTGTAGTACACACAAAACATTGAAAAGCCAACATACTGATACTGCATTTTCCTGGCATCAAATTTGCAAAGACTTCATAAGGCAAATTAGAATTCTCTAAAGTCTTTTTTTTCCCTAAAAATGTTACTACAATTTATACCTCCAGTATTTGAAATCATGTTATGATGAAATATATAATATTACAAATTATAATATAATGCTGACAATTAAAAAAAAGAGAAAACACCTAACAAATTCCCCAAACTAAGCTAAAAGGAAAATAGTTGGAAAACACCAAAACAAACACACAAATAAAAGACTCTAAAACTAAAATTAAAAGAAAATTCAGCATATGAAAAAAGTATATTATAGGGAGAAATTATGAGCAACTGCATACAAGTAATCTGTAAAAGTTAGCTAACTTTCATGATCATTAACTTATTAACTATATTTTAAAGTCTTATATAGTGATAAATAGCTGCTTTTTCTTTTCAAATTTGTTTTGCAGTTCTGGGTTAAATTCCCAGGGCCTTGTGTAGGCTAGGTAACACACACGCTCTACTACTGAGTTACATTCCCAGCTCTGCTTCCCCATCACCCCACTTTTTACTTGTAGGGCATGACTCACCTTAGACAAGGCTCACATTCATTTCCTACATGGCATTACTCTTTTTGGAATTCTTTCATGATTCAATTACATCAACATGAGTGCTCTTTATTAAATGTTCCCATCTGCTGTGCCATGCTTCTACATTGTTTTGGGTACATGATAATTCATACCCCATTCACTCACATACAGATCATTAATTTGGAGGAAACAATCATGGTGATCAAACAGCAGAACCACTGTATCAAATGTCTTCTTATTCTTCCTTGTACATAATCATTTTCAAACCAGTCATTAAGTTCACAGACTTCTTAGGGGAAATACAATTTTAGTTCATTAGAATCTTCTGGAATTTCATCAGCTGGAAGGAACACCAGCAGACAAATGATCCATTTGTGTGTGTGTGTGGCTGGGAATTGAATCCAGGGCCTTGTGCATGTGAGGCGAGCGTTCTACCAACTGAGCTATATCTCTAGCCCATTATACTTTTTCTGTTTTTGGTGGTGCTGGGGATTGAAGCCAGGGCCTGTGCATGCAAGAAAAGTACTCTACTGACTGAGCTATATCCCCAGCCCCTGTGATACATTTTTAAATTGAATTTTTTTATTAGCTACACATTTAAATTGAATTTTTGTCATTGCCCATATCGCATCACCAATCTACATATTCCGATTTTCCAACAAATGGGTTGGGTTGATTGAAAAAAAAAAACAAACTTTATCTATACTACTTTAAAATTTGCTTTTAGAATCCTTGATTGCCTCTCATTCCAAATCTGTCATTATGGCTTATGCATTCAATTGAAATTTAGTTTCTTTTGCAAAGTCCATTAAGTCATCAAGTAAGATTATAAAGTACCTCTCTTTTCCTAGCCATTAATACATAAATGTGCCAAAAAGTTCTAGAATTTTTGGATTCAATAGGGGTATAAGAATATTTATTTGAGGGGCTGGGGATGTGGCTCAAGCGGTAGCGCGCTGGCCTGGCATGCGTGCGGTCCGGGTTCGATCCTCAGCACCACATACAAACAAAGATGTTGTGTCCGCCGATAACTAAAAAATAAATATTAAAAAATTCTCTCTCTCTCTCTTTAAAAAAAAATATTTATTTGATAAAACAAAAACAAAAACAAAAAAAAACAGACGGGAGCCAGGCACTGAGGTGCATGCCTATAATCCATCACTAGGGAGGATGAAGCAGAAGGATCACAAGTTCTAGGCCGGTCTGGGCAACTTAGTGAGACCCTGTCTCAAAACAAAAAATAAAAAGGGCTGAGGATGTAACTCAGTGATAGAGTGTCCCTAGGTTTAATCCCCAGTGCCTAAACAAAAACAAAAATGAAAATAAAAGGAAAAAAACAGTGGGGACAGTTTTCAGAGTGCCGTCCATATGTCAAAGTGAAGGAACTTCTATATCACCAAAGTCTGGTTCAGACAGAGGTCACTGAACTTTTTTTTTTTTAGTGGTATTGGGTATTGAACCCAGGAGTGCTTTACCGCTGAGCTACATTCTTACTCCCCACTTTTAGCCCCAAGAAGGGCTTTCAGGCCAGGCATGATGGTGTATACCTGTATCCCTAGCTACTTGGGAGGCTTAGGAAGAAGGATTACAAATTTGAGGCCAGCCTCTGTAATTTAGTGAGGCCCTGATTCAAAATTAAAAAAATAAGATGTAGCTCAGTGGTAGAGCCCCATTGGATTCAAAACTCAAAATGAAACAAACAAAATGAAAAGCCTCTCAAAGTTCTCCCTGCTTACCTACTCTGGATATGTTTCATCATCTGACATCAGAAAACACTCAAAACAATCTTGAGCTCAGCAGCACTGAAATGAGACTCACTTGGGGAGCCAGGGAAGGTGAGACAAAGATGCCAAGGGTCCAGATATGCATGTCATGTACTTTCAGGCTACATGTTTTTGTTGGCTGTCATAACTGATCCAAGTAGTCACAATTCCAGAAATGAACTGTCAAATAATAACTCAGAAACATTTCATTACTTGTATATTGTTTAGAATATTGTATGTAAATAATTCTCAGACACATGAAGGAGTCAGTGGAGAAACAAAGTCAGGGGCAAAGGCAAAACAAGCAAGTGGTAGATTATATCTGTGGTCCCCAGGGAATGAATGAACCTCCCAGTATTCATATTCTGACACAGCCCCTTCCATGTTGAATTGGCCACATGGCTTGCTTTGGCCAAAGGGATATTAGATTATTGGGTCTTCCAGGTTACCCACCAGCCACTAGCTAAATGCAGCCATGACTCTAGCTGATTCCATCCATATGGAACAGAATTACTGTTAAGATCTTTCAGAATTCCTAATGAAGATTCATTGCTGTATTAGGCCATGATATTATGAAGTGATTTTTTAAAAAAATATTTTTTAGTTGTAATTGGACACAATACCTTTATTTTATTTATTTTTATGTGGTGAAGATTGAATCCAGCGCCTCGCACATGCTAGGCGAGCACTCTACCGCTGAGCCACAACTCCAGCCCCTGAAGTGATTTTTCATGCAACAATAGAGAGGTGCAACAAAGGGTTTATAAGAGAAAGGGAAGAAACAAAACTGCATTCTAGGAATAGTAAATTTGTGTATTTTGGGGGTAACATGACTACCTGGAAGCTATTGAAGAGGTTAGTCTGGGAATTCTGTCTTGAGTAGGCTCTCTAGGGTTCTCTTAGAAAGCATTTTAGTTTTTTACCAATTCTCAAGAAAAATTTGAGAGTTTACCTATGGGTATACTTGTGTACTATCTGCCAGTATCCTTCTGTTAGTACCCTTGGCCTTATTATTTCAAGTTTGTACCATTTCCCTGATCAGAATTTTGTAGATTACTCAGAGATAAGGAAAAGACCAACCCTGAGTAGGCAAGAAAGACATGAATACTCCCTCATTGCTATCTTTTCACCCTTGCTTAAATAAAAACAGCAGCAGCAACATAGATATTCTGTCTACCTCTTTAGTCAACAGTCAGGGCTATCTTAATATGGAATGCTCCAAGGAATTCAGATTCTTGCAGGAAACTGTGAAACACAAGTCCCAAACACAGTATTGCCCTGAGCAAGGAGTGATGGGGCACTGGAGTCAAGGCTCTGGAAAGGAGAAATGCTTAATGGGACTAAGTGGTCTATAGAATTTGGGATCTCCCTACAGTATGCTGGGAGTACAAACATTGGAAGGATAAAGGAGAGGTCAGATGGTGATCAAAAATACAGACAGAAATAGAGGAAAATGGAACTGGGAATTAAAATACCCACAGAACAGAATCATTCAAAGTGAAAAAGAATTAAACTTTATTTATCTGGAAGATGGGATGAATCCGTCGCTGGTTATTGGAACCTGAGGTTGCGCTTGCTCTTTAGGAAGGTGGGTTGGAATGGGATGAGCTGTGTTTGGCAAGGGCTGTGGTGGTCTAGAATCTGGGGAGATCAGCAGAATTAGTTTTCTAAGACTGGCACCCCTTACATCAACAAGTACCACCTATGTGTCTTCTATATCCTCCATTTTTTTTTTTTTTTTTTGGTGGTGCTGGGGATTGAATCCAGGGCCTTGTGCTTGTGAGGCAAGTACTCTACCAACTAAGCTATATCCCTAGCCCCATAGCCCCTATTTTTGTCTACCCCTCTCACCTGCCTGGTTCCCCAGCTGAGCCTCAGGCCGGTCTCCCCAGAGCAGATGCTTGGGGTCATTGAGGAACCTCTGGCTGCGCTGGCATGTCAGGCAGGTCTGTATTGTCCAGCGTTGTCCCCTGCGGCCTGGCGTAAAGGTGGGAAAAAGGAAAAGTGCCCAGGTTCCTAAGAAAGGTCCTTTTGCCTCCAAGTTTTTCCAGTAGGAATCCTATTCCCCACTCCCACTTTGAATGTAAATTTCATGGCATCTGGCCCCAGCACCAATTCCATCAATTTCTTGGAATTTTAAGACAAAAACTAAATTCCTTAACAGGATAAAGATATGGATTGTTTCCCTCAACTCTTGCTCCTGAGCAACTCAAATTCCAGCCTCCCCAACTCTGATTTCCTTGACAGTACCACAAATTCTCATGTCTGGAAATTCTCATCCATGCTTAGAATTTCTCTGTCTAGCTACCTTTATTTATCATGTACCTCATCACCACTGGCATAAATAATTCAGCATTCTACTTTACCCTCCTCTCAATTAAAGCATTTTTCTCCCCTACATTCTTTTGTTTCTATTTTAGCCTCTCTCTCCAGGGTGTAATTTGAATATAGTACTCGACATATTTTAGCAAATAAGGTCTTTTTTTTTGGGGGGGGGGGGAGTACCAGGGGTTGAATTCAGGGGCACTCAACCACTGAGTCACATCTCCAGCTCTTTTTGTATTTTATTTAGAGACAGGGTATCATTGAGTTGCTTAGGGCTTCTAAGTTGCTGAGACGACTTTCAATTTGCGATCCTCCTGGCTCAGCCTTCCCCAGCAGCGGGGATTACAGGCCTGCGCCACTGCGACTGGCAGAAAAGAAATATTTCTTGAGTAAACGAATGAAAGGTGCTACCACACAGTATCTGTTATTGTGTCTCGGTGAGATTGCCTCTTAAGGCATAATTTTTCTTCTACCCAAATAGGAATAAAAGCCAAGCCCAGACTTTAGTTTGTCCCAGGGATATCAGAAATTTAATTTATATGGGGCGCAGTGGTGCACAGCTGTAATCCTAGCGGCTCCGGAGGCGGAGGCAGAGGCTGCAGGATAGTGAGTTCAAAGCCAGCCTCAGCAATTTAGAGAGGCGCTAAGCAACTCAGTGAGACCTTGTCTCTAAATAAAATACAGAAATAGGGCTGGGGATGTGACTCAGTGACCGAGTGTCCCCGAGGTCAATCCTCGGTACAAAAAGCAAACAAAGAAAAAAACCTTTAATTCAGACCTAGAGAAAGCTGGCTCCAGCATATCCAAAGCCCTACCAATCTAAGGTGAGGATGGAGCGGTTTGGCCCCGCCCTCCCCTCTTCCCGTGCTCCGCAACCACCCCATTTTGCCAGGAGCACTCACGTCTCTGGCGCTGGGTGCTGGTGAGGCCAGGGATGAGGAGGGAGGAGCAGCCGCGGCATAGGGTCCTTTTCACCGAGGGGTCCCTGGGGGCGGAGGGGAAAGGTCGTCTGAATGCCCGCGCTCCCTCGCCTTTCCTCCTCGGTCCCGCCCACCGCCCAGACCCGCGCTGTCTCACTGTCGCAGGACTAGTCGCTTCGCAATGGTCTTTTCCGTGTGGCAGTAAAACCTCGCCAGCGCCTGGTTCTCGGGGTCCTGCGCAAGGACACAGTGGGCGGCCTGGGGGGAAGGCAGCGGTCACTCCAGGGCCCGGCGCACCAGAATCCCTTCCCCACGCGGCACTTGCTCACTCACCTGGTACAAGAAGCTGAGTCTTTGGAAGGCCTCGCGGTCCTTCACTGGTCCCGCCATCCGGGAGCCCCAGCAACAAGCGCACCCTCTCGCAGGCCCCGCCCCTTGCGCCCGCGCAAGGCCTTCTGGGAGGTGTAGTGCCCAGGCCCGCAGCCTTAGGTTTGGGAACCTGTTCTCCGCCAATCCAGCACAGGATCCCTTTATGACTTTTGAGTTCCTTTCACTCTTCCTTAAAACTATGATCATGTACTTAGTAGAGATTGGAGCAGCAAATGGGCAGGAGAGGATCTTTTTATTATTTTAGTTGTAGATGGACACAATACCTTTATTTTTATGTGGTGCTGATGATAGAACCCAGGGCCTCACACGGGCTATGCAAGTGCTCCACCACTGAGCTACAACCCTAGCCCAGGAGAGGTTCTTAAAAGTGGGAAATATTTTCAGGAGATAAGTCTGGTTTCCTCATGCAGACAGATTGGGGAAATGGTTATGTGCAACTTATACCTTCTGCTCTACTAAGTCAAAGGCAGTTTCCTGGAAAATCTACAGACTGAAGGAATAGAGGCTTACATTAAAAACAACAAAAAATTGGTGTCCTTTGAGGTCAAAGTGGAAAGGGTCATGAGGGTGGCAAGATAAGGAAGGAGGGCTCCTGGCCCTCAGCACAGCCTGGTTCCACTTTTACACTTACCAATGAAACACTTGTTACAGTGCTGGACATGTAGCAGGTGATCCCTACTTGCTCAGTGAATAGTTTTAAATTCCTTGTTGTATGTACAGCAAACTGCCAACAGTATCCTCTGCCCAGACTGCAGCCTACTTACTCCACAGAGACATCAACTTCACACTCTTCTGACCTCTTTCTGCCTCCCATTTGTTGTCTGGCATCCTGTGTTTATCACTGATACCCAGTTAATGACAACCAGTTTCTGAGGTCAAAAGCAGAGGAATTAAAACTGGAGGTACAAAACATGATTGAACACTAAGATATAGAGGGCAGTATAAGTCAGGAGAGGGTAATATCCTGCTCCCATCTCAGAAGAAGGAAATTAGCTAAAACCTCCTCTAGGTGAAGTTTAGCAAGGGTCCTCAGATTTGAATGAGGAATGTATTTAAAATGTTGAGATCCCCAGGTCCAACCAGACTTTGATCAAACACTGCAGGCAAGACCCAGGAACGTGCATTGTTCACACCCAGTGATTTTACCATAAACATAAGGCCATGCCCAAATTAGCACTCGACACAGAGATCACTTCAGTGGATCCTTTGTTCCATATTATTTTTACCAACCAAAGTATCTTGCCACAAAGAACCACAGTCAAGGCACAAAGGTAAGAGGAGGAAAGTGGACAGAGTCCAGTTGAGGTGGTAAGAGGAACTGAAATGCCCTCAGTAAACTGCAGCTTCTTGTGTCAGTCTTCTGTGAAGATTACCCAAGCAGCAGATATCCAAGATGTTTTAGTTTGGTTTGGCATGCATCTCTTTACCTTTTTTTTTGACAACATATATACCCTATAGGTTGTTTATTTTGGCCTAACATTAAAATGATTTACATTCAAAAAGGGGAATGGCAAAGGGTGAAGGATGGCAACAAACAAGCAAAAGGCTGTTGTGAACACTAGTTCCAGGCCAATGCACAGGCAAAAGGAAGCTGCCTATCCAGCCCTTTCCTAAATGTACCCTGTCTTTAGGGTGAGAAAGACTCCCTTATCTTTCTTCCTTTCTGGCTTGGACACCTGAGCCAGGTGACAAGGCTAACGACTTGGGAATAGTTATTCAGTAACATTCTTTAAGGCCAGGGCTTTGGATAGATATACTTTTCTCTAATACCCGACTCTCTGCTCTCCAAGTTCTTTTGGGAAAAGTGTAAGTATAGCTGTGTCTTGCACAATCTCTTCCCCTTGCCTCTGAAGAGGAACAGGCCGTGCAACTTCTTGGAGACCACCAACTGTGAGGAGGCAGGCAAATAGCCAGCAGAAGGCCAAGGTAGGGACACAGGTTCTCCTTTATTCCCATCCTTTCCTTTTCTCCACATTCCTACCTCTGGCCAATCCTACTCACAATGGCAACCTTACCCTGGGAATAGAACACCGAAGAAACTTCCCTCTCCTTCATTGGTTTCTAGGAATCTGTTGCTTTAGTCCTCTTACCTGATCTTCTTTGTAATCTACTTTGATGTCCAAACTCTGCCTTCAGAAAAATTCAACTTCTAGACCCATGACAGCAATGGTCATTCATCTTTTTTCAATCTAGAGGTACACCGACCCCTGTGATTTTCCTCAAAAAACAAGTCTATTCTGGGTCAAAGAAGTCCCTAAGGGTTTCTGTTTTCTCCTCCTACTTAAGCAAGTTAGACTCTCCCATAGACTTTTCATTTCTGGAAGTCTCTCCTTCCTTCCCAACCTTTCCTTGTGCAATAGAAAACCTGATGGATGTCAGGGAGACATTCTCCTGGCAACCAGCTCCCCACGGTGAGGAGGGAGACATACCCGTGCTCCATCATACAGCCCAGTCCTACCTACTCCTCCACACAAACCATCCTGGAGGCCAGAATGTTTCTCCAAGATGACTCAGGACTGGAACCAGGCAGACACCAAGACGTTCCAGCAGGACACAAGAAGGAAGGCCCATAGCTTTTGACCCTGCCTCACCCCAGTTAATCCCACATCTCAACCTGTCACTCCCAATCTGTTGGGGGCCTGATAGTAAGTGGTGCAGCATTCTTCCGACCAGCCCGGATGCCTGGGTAGAAGAGGGGCCAAAGTTTCTCAGTAAAAGTATCAGTAAAGGTGTAGATATGAGAGCGGTCTGTGACGTTGTAAAATGATAGTGTGCCAGCCTCGTAGTCTAGGAATATGCCTACCCGCTTGGGTTTTACCTTGATGTGCAAAGGGGTAAAAGGTGTGGTGGTGGCTGCATACTTGTCCCCATTCCACAGCCGCACACGCCAGTAGCCAGTCTCAGGGAGTGGAGTCAGCTCGCCCTTTCGGCTCACAGAGTCCCGGCACACACCCACTGCCCAGTGGGTCTTGTCCCCCACCTCCACCTCCCAGTAGTGTCGACCTGAGGTGAAACCTTCAGTAGCCAGGACGCAAGGGTAGAAGGTGAAACGCTGTGGCGTGTCAGGGAGATCTCGGAGTCTTGTCTCCACAAACTTGACGCTTTTACGATCTTCTGACAGGACTAGGTTAGGATGAGCAGTCTCAGGGTCCAGGGTCACATCCGCTGGCGGGAGAAGCCAGAGTGGGGAGCTAGATGAGGATGGGAATAGCTAAACACCCCTGCCTCACTTTTTCAGCCTGCCTGTATATACAGAGCCTGGTCCCTTAAAGGTCCTCAGAACACCATGTTGGTTAACATTCTCAATCCATAGTGTCACCAAAGGAAAAGGAGGCAACAAAGGCTTCACTTCTCACCCTGATCCTAAAATAAACAGATAATGATTTCTTGACTCTGAAAGAAAAGTCTCTGTGGGGATAGGTTCCTGTCCTTGTCTTTTCCTCATCTGATTTCTTCATTTATCTCACTATATGGAAAAGTGCAAGGTGTGGTATGAGGGCCAGAATGGAAAGTGGAAGAAGAATCCAGAGCAAGTCAGCAGTATGGTCTAGGGACAAGGTTAGCATGTATCTGTTTTCTTGGAATGGTTCTGCTTTATGACTATTTTTCCTGCATAAATATTATGATATTCCTGTTCATGCTCAGCATTGCCCAGCTGAGACAGTAAATTCTATGGCCACTTCATCTGATGTCTTGGGTAAATTATTTAACCTTTCTGGGTCCCTATTTATAAAAATGTAGATTTAGAAGTAGACGACATCTATGGCTTCCTTTCACTCAGAGTTCTATGACTCAGGGTGAGACCAAAAGCCAACTAAAGGGGTGGAGGTAGGAGTGGGCACGAAATAATTGAAGCCCATATAAGGTAGGATTTAAAGACTTTTCTCTTGGGCTGGGGATGTGGCTCAAGCGGTAGCGCGCTCGCCTGGCATGCGTGTGGCCTGGGTTCAATTCTCAGCACCACATACAAAGATGTTGTGTCCGCCGAAAACTAAAAAAATAAATATTAAAAAATTCTCTCTCTCTTTAAAAAAAAAAAAAAAAGATTGGGAACAACTCACCAATTAGCTGTTTAAGGATTTTCCTTAGGGCAAAGTATTGTCGGGGGAAATTGCTGAAGTTCTTTTCCAGCTCTATGGATACTGAAGTCACCTCCATGGTCTTCACCTTCTCACATCTAGGACAGATAGAAAGATAGGGGGAGAAAGGGCAGGGTCAGGGGATACCAGTCAAGTGAATATTCAGATGTTGTAATCTTTAGGGAGAAACTAAAATTCTCCATCTTCCCACTTTCTATCTTCTCCCTGAAGACAATTGCTTTCTTGTGTTATCGGTGGAGAGCCATCTGCTCTCCTACACTGGTACTTATCTTGAGAATAAACCTCCAAACTTACTTTTTTTTTTTCTCTCTCTCTCTGTACTTGGGATCCAACCCAGGGCCTTATGCACTCTACCACTATTTAACATCCCCAGCCCTTTTTGTATTTTATTTTGAGACTAAAGTTACTCAGGTTGGCCTTGAATTTACAATCCTCCTGCTTCAAGTAGCTGGGATTAATAAGCATGCCTCATGGTGCCCAGCATGGGGTATTCTTATACTTCATGCAAATGATAATCATCCTTCTTGCTTTCTCATCCCCTTTCTCCTGCCCTCTTGTTTCGACACAATTCCATCCACAGGTACAAGCAGAATATGGTTCTACATTATCATTGTCCTTACCAACCAAGTCCTGATGTTTAAAGGGGAAAAAGTAAGGAATTATTACTTTTAATGATTTGTTCTCTACCTGGCTTCATGGCTGCAATGAACCTCTCCCATGTCCTATCCAGATACTGCATGATTTTTCCCATCCTTACTACCCCAAATCATTATAATACCTTTAGTCTCTAAGCCAAGACCTAACTTACTCAGAAAGATATAAGAATCACTTACTTTTCCAGGGTACTTTTGACATCCTAGAGGGAATGAGAAAAGAAAGCAAGATTGGTCCTGGCATTCAAGCGTCCTGAAGGCAAAAGGTTCCCCCCCCCCCATCCCAAAAGTTCTAGATCTATAGAATAGGCACAGTGCAAACTGATAGTTATAATGCAAGGGTTAGAGTTCCAGAGGGATCTGAATACATCTCTCTTAAAATAATCTCCACTTTCAACTGTTGGTCATCCGGAAGCTTGGTAATTTATATCACTTCCAAATGGTTTCCTGTATGTTTGTCTTTGCTCCTCAAGGACACTGGGAGCTCCCTGCAAGGTATACATATTGTGTCTCTCTTTACTCTGTTCCCCAAGTACCAATCACATACCTCAGTCTCCTCGAGAATCAGTACAGATAGTTCCAGATTGGTGGCATAGAACAAATCACACTTTCCCATTGTGGTTTGGTATTCTCTATCTGGCACGGGTTAATAAACAATAAGTGTGTGCCAACCCTGATTTGAGAATACTTGGGGTCCAGAAGACAAAGAAGACAAATTTCTGCCCTACAAGGATTTCCCAGTTTAATGCAGAACATACATACATGAAAGGACGGCAATCAATACCAAGCAATACATAACATGCAGATAAACAACATACAATGAAGCTTCACTGATTCAAATGCTGGTATTCTGGTCTCTAAGAAATATGTACCCTATAGCCTTACTAACATTATGCATCTTTTGAAGAGAACAAAACTATTCCAAACATTTTAGAGGCATCATTAACATATCAAAAGCAATGTTATTATTTATACATAATTTCAAGTATCCTTTAAACTAACTTTCAATTCTTTTTAGCACTAGGTAAATCAAGTATTAGGATGAAAAAAGTAATGGAAACTATATTTACAAAATTTTTAATGCATAGTTTTTTACTACGTAGACTAGACTTCTCTCAAGGGTGATTTTTTTTCTCTGGGACAAATTAAACACAATGGCTGAGGATATAGCTCAGTTGGTAGAGTGCTTGCCTCTCACGCACAAGGCCCTGGGTTTAATGCCCAGCACCACAAAATCAAAAACAAAACAAAACAAAACAAAAAAACACCCCCAAAAAACCAAATAAAAACAAAAACAAAAAACCCAAAAACAAATTAAGCACATAATTGTTGATGAGACATAATGACACAAAAATGATTAGAAGGGGATGAGAAAAATCAGAGAAGCTTGCTGTAGAAAAAGATCCTCTGTGTAAGTCTGGAAGAAAGAATTGGACTTGGGGAAGTAGAGCAAGGGAGTGAGCACCCTTGGCTGACAGACTGGCCTGTGCAAAGCTATACTGTGTTCCACCTGGGGGGCTATGCAGGGGCAAAGGTCGAACCTTAAGCATCTCGAAGCCTGACTGTAAGCACTTGCCCTCCACCTCGGCAGCCAAATGGGCCAGGTCCCGGCGCATGTCCCCAAGGTGAGCAGCATTTTCTCGCAGTCTTTGTAGAATGTCCTGTTCCTCCTCCTCTAGTCTTGAAAGCAATACCTGCTGTTCTTCATCCAGCCGCCTATGAAGCTCTTCAAACTCCTTTAAGATCTGCTGTCGACGACTCTCCACTAGTCTCTGAGGAAAGAGGATATTGTATCAGCAGGATCAGTGGGCTTGGGGGTAGCTTCTCCATGACCCACCAGGTACATGAATTAACAAAGAGTTCCAGTGTCATTGGAAATAAGTTAACAGGACACATTTTCTCTCTACTGAAATCTATAAAGAATGGTGCCATCAACCAATGATGACTTGACAGTGGAGACCACTGGGAAACTGATTTTATTATTTTTTGCAGAACTGAGATTGAGCCCAGGGCACTTTGCTACTGAGCTACATCCCAGCCTTTTAATTTTTAGACAAGTCTTGCTAGTTGTCTAGGCTGGCCTTGAATTTGCCAATCCTCTTGCCTCAGCCTCCTTAGTCACTGGGATTACAGGCATGCCATTACCATACCCAGCCTATTGAGAGATTACTAACCCTCCTTCCCATTATCTAAGAAAATTAAGTTTGTCAGTAAATAAACTTCTCAAAAGTTAATTTTCATATTTTAATAAAATATATTGAAGATATAAGAAATCAATAATATAACATCTACTATTTATGAATACTAGAGATATTTCTGCTATTCAACTCTGAAGTTTATATAATCTGTTAACAAAGAGAAAGTAAAAATACTAGAAAATTAAGATAAGACTGTCATCATTTGTATATGGTAAGATATCTACTTGATAAAAAACAGAGAACTGGAAAACTATCACAAACTGTAAGAGTTTAGTGGGTTGTTACAAAGCATATATGCAGATTTTAGAACTGAACCTGTTAAATAGTTTCAAGTTATTTCTGAGAATTGGTAGTTTTCATCCCAGAAACAGGTTATGGATGTTTTTTAGTAAATCAGTTGCTTGAAATTTGGAATATGCCTTCTGTATGCCACCACATACATTTAAACCTCTAACACTCTTAGATTTGATAATGTAAGACTCCAACATCAGCCTTATCACTAAGGACTTCAGTGCATCCTCTCTCTTGTTCCTCCCTGAAATAAGTTTAGAATTCCTAACAGTGGTAAATAGGAAGAAAGAAAAGATCCCCCCCATCTTTAAAAATTTTTTTTGTAGTTATAGATTGACAGAATGCCTTTATTTTATTTGTTTATTTATATGTGGTGCTGAGTATTGAACCCAGTGTCTCATACATGCTAGGCTAACACTCTACCACTGAGCCTCAGCCCCAGATTTCCCCTCTTTAAAACCCACCATCCCTTCTCTTTTCTCACTCTGTATTTGTAGGACAGTGGTTCTTAACAAGGGTGCCATGTCCCTCTAAGGACATTATTCCTCCAATGTGTGAGAGATAATCCTACATGGTAAACTGTCTTGCATCATTTTTCTTTTTGGTACTGGGGATTGAACCCAAGGCCACTTAATCACTGAGCCACATCCCCAACCCTTATTATTCTGAGATAGGGTCTTGCTAAGTTGCTAAGGGCCTCACTAAGTTGCTGAGGCTGGCCTTGAACTTGCAATCCTCCTGATTTAGCCTTCCAAATCACTGGGATTATAGGTGTGTGCCACCACACCCAGCTTCCTTCATCATTTTCTATGTTCTGCTGGATATTAAACATGTAGGTATGGACTTGAATGTCATTTTATGTAAACACACAGAGGAATTCTTACATGGTTTAAATATACCAGAATTTCCTGGGAATAACTAAACAAACTCATTAGGACTAGATCTTATTTTCTTAGAGCAATAACTAAACAAACTCATTAGGACTAGATCTTATTAGAGCTTTAGCAAAATTCATTCTTTTGAAAAATCATGTCATCAAGAGCTGTTTGTGGAATTTGAGTCACATTACAACACATCTGCCTCAGTTTGAACAAGTATTTATTGTATTGTTTGTGTCGCATGTAGGTGCAAGCTGACAACTATGCTATAGTGTCTTTCAGAGTTGTCATACCCAAATGTTATACATCATATTTTATTATAAATATGTCTATGGTATATCATATTACAAAATTATGTAGATAGATTATTTCATCTATACTTTTCATTTTAGCATAGTTAATTACAAACTTGTTTTTTGCTGCACTGGGGATTCCTATACTCTCAACCTCTACCAACTATTTTTTTTTTAAATATTTATTTTTTAGTTGTAGTTGTACACTATATCTGTCTATCTGTATTTATTTATTTATGTATGTATGTATGTATGTATTTATTTATTTATATGTGGTGCTGAGGATCGAACCCAGGGCTTTGCACGTGCTAGGTGAGCGCTTTGCCACTGAGCTACAGCCCCAGCCCCTACCAACTATTTTTAAAAGGGGCACTGAGTCTGATTCTGGAGGTGGAGATGAGGGAAAGGGAAGAACACGAATTCAAATCATCACAAAAAGAATATTTTCTGTGGTAGTTTAAGTGTTGACGAAGATGTGGGGAAAAAGGCACACTCATACATTGCTGGTGGAACTGCAAATTGGTGCAGCCAATCTGGAAAGCACTATGGAGATTTCTTGGAAAACTTGGAATGGAACCACAATTTGACCCAGCTATCCCATTCCTTGTTCTAAACCCAAAGGACTTAAAAACACATACTACAGGGACCCAGCCATGTCAATGTTTATAGTGGCACAATTCACAATAACTAAATTGTGGAACCAACCCAGATGCCCTTCAGTAGATGAATGGATGGGAAACTTTGATATATCTATATATCTAAATATATATACACAATGGAATATTACTCAGCATTAAAAGAGAATAAAATTATGGCATTTGCAGATAAATGGATGAAGTTGGAGAATATAATGCTAAGTGAAATAAGCCAGTCCCCCCTAAAAAAGGCCAAATGTTTTCTTTGATATGAGGATGCTGACTCATAATGGTGATTGGTGGGAGGGAGCATGAGAGGAATGGAGGAACTTTAGATAAGGCAAAGGGGAGGGAGGGGAAGGGAGGGGACAAGAAGATAGGAATAATGGTGGAATGGGCTAGACATCATTACTCTAAGTACATGTATGAAGTCACGAATGGTGTGAAAATACTTTGTGAGTAATCAGTGTCTTAAAAAGAGTTTTATTTTTGTGATAAAAATTTGTTCAAGTTTTTAAAAACCTGAATGTTTGCTTTGGTAAAATATATGAAGCACTAAAATAATAATAATTGCTTTCTGTTGAAATATTATCATTCATTATTAAATAATTAGTGTTTTTACTTTAAAATCCGTGTTTAATTTCTGGTGATCCCTGAATTTCAACTCTTAAATACTTATTACTTCTTCAGGAAACCTTTAACAAGGTCAGATTTCTATGCTGTCTTCCTCCCCTCCCCACCCATGTTCTGGTACTGAGGTTGATTGAGCTCAAGGGTGCTCTACAACTGAGTTACATTCCAGCCCCTTTTATTTTGAGACAGGGTCTTAAGGCCTAGGCTGGCCTTGAACTTGTGATCCTTCTGCCTTAGCCTCTCTAGTAGCTGAGATTATAGGTGTGTGCCACTGTGCCTTACCTATATTATTGTCTTATGAACTTGCAGCTGTGCTTTTTGTGCTATGTCATTATTCATTTTCTCCACCTGACTTTAAGCTCAGGAGGACAGGGACTGTGTTTTTGTTCATCATTATTTTATAATGTCAAATATAGGCCTTGGCCTATACCAGGAGCTAAATAAATACTTACTGATTTACAAAGAACTAGTGTCCCTGGTTTTGCCACTTACTGGATACATGATGTTGGACTAGAAAAAGCCTCTTTTTCTCTAGTGTAAACTGGGGGTAATAATCTTTACCTTACAGAGTATCTAAAATTACCCATGTTAAAAATGGCCTTAGGATCTTCTTCTATTTGTCATCTAACTTTTCTATATCCCAATGTCTCAAGTGTGGCCTGAACTCTTAGACCTCCAACTTGGGAAGAACCCTAAGATTTTTTTTTTAAAAGTCTTTATTTCTTGGTTGTAGTTGGACATAATACCTTTTATGTATTTTTATGTACTGCTGAGGATTGAACCCAGGGCCTTGCACGTGCTAGGCAAGCACTTTACCATTGAGCCATAACCCCAGCCCAGAACCCTAAGATTTAGTATGACCTTATACATTTGGAAAGCCATGGACTTCCAATGAATTAATGCACAGAACTAAATATTAGTTACATTTGTTACTACTCATTATTTACCATCCAATAGAAGAAATAACTTAGACATCAAAATGCCATTCTACAAATAAGATAATGCTATGAAAAAGATGCAAAATTGTATAAAATTTAATAAAACTAATTTCTGAAGAGCCATGAAAGTCCTCATAGGAAGTAGCTTTTATTCTAACTGAAGGATGGACAGGATTCTTCTATAGGTGAAGGATGGGGAGGGGAAGGACATTCTAGGAATAAACCTGCAATTTCTACCTTACTTGAGTTATTAGAATGTGGTCCAGATGTCACCAGGCAGTTTTAGGAGCTGTTAGTCAGCTCCTTTTAACCTTCTCCCTTGTGAATCTTCCAAATTCTTCTCTCCTCAAAGAAAGTCCTATCCCTACATTCTTAGCAATCTCTTTCGCTTAATGAAAAAAAGAAGACAAACAGACAAGAACTCCCTCAACTTACCAGATTAGATATCTTGTTGTATCCTTCATTGCTTACATCCTTCTCCTCAATTCTTAATTCATGACAAGTAATTTAAGTACATTATTTAGTGACAATAAAGTGTAATAAATTATCATCATTTTTGAGAGAACAGCATTTTTCTAATATACTGGAACCAGTGGATTAAACAATGTGTAGTTAATTCCCTCATTTACAAATACTTTGTAAAACAACATGAATGGGATTGCCTGTCTTTACCTTGAGTTCTCCAGGCTTCTTCTCCTCAGAGGACTTGCATCGAGTGATCTCCTGTAGCTTCTGCTCCAGGGGCTCTAGGCACTTCTGCAGTTTTTCCTGAGGGTTAGGGAGGAAGTGGGAGAGATAACATTTGGGGTTGGTTGGTATATCCACTGCTCAAGAGGTTAACCCATTTAAAAAAAAATTTCTCTCTTTTTTTTTTTTTGTGTGTGTGCTGGGGATCAAACTCAAGTTCTTGCACATACTAGGTAAGTGCTCTACCACTGGGTCATATCCCCAGCTCCAACACATTTGTTTTAAACCATTTGTTTGCTTTCTATCCATTTTACCATCTCTTGATCCAACTCTCTTTGTAGACAACAATTTGAGACGTCAACTTCTTGGATATCCCTCCTCCTGCTACAGCTTAGCCCTAATTCACCCTGCTTACCCAACTTCCTCCCACTGAATCCGATATAGTTGTCTAGCTCTCATCAATTCTGTGTCCTTCCCTATCCATTTTCTTATGGACAACTAACTGCCTATTATTGCCAAATATTTTTTTTTGGTGGTGCTGGGGATCAAAAGTAGGGCCTTGTGCATATTAAACACACACTCTACCACTGAACTACATCCCCAGCCCCAAGCAATCTCCAGATTCCTGAGAATGAAGGGATAGGAGTTTCTTTGAGGAGAGAAGAATTTGGAAGGTTCACAGGGGAGGAGAGTAAAAGGAGCTAACAACTCCTAAAACTGCCTGGTGACATCAGGACAAATTCTAATAACTCAAGTAAGGTAGAAAATGTAGGTTTGTTCCTGGGATGTCCTTTTCCACCCCATCTTTTGTACCCTGATACCCTTCTTTAAATCTATCCTCCTATTTAAATCTACCCACTTAAAAACAACTTGATTATTATACATATACATATATAGTAATATATTATAAATTACCTTAAATCTCTTGCTTCCAGATTTCATTAATATAATTAAGTATGTGATGAAGACACTAAAATCTTTAGTTTCTATTACTCAAACATTTACCCTGTGTCCCAGCAGTAAGTCAGACAAGGCGCCACGTTACCCATTATCTGGGGAAGATGCAAACAACAGACTAGAGTTCAACTTAGTATCAGTCTAAAGTAATGTTACCTATTCCCAATACCGATGGGAAAACAAGAAGTATCCCGAGCAGCGAGGCAGAATGAAGAAACCAGAATACTTTTCAGTTCTTCCCAAATCTGATCTTTGCCACAGGTTTCACTCACTTATGAAAAATATGATATACTCCAAGGACACACATAACAAATATTCATCCATGACTCTTCATGCAGAGGACAACTGATCAGATGTACTATGTACCCCCATTTATGTAGCTACGAGGGGAACTACATAATGAGGACCAGATATAGTCTTGTCCTCAGGAACTTAAGTTCCTCTACCCAAAGAGTATGCCATTCTCTGCTGCTCCTCCCTTCTTTCCCACATTGGTATCAGGTGTCTGGTGGCCCACCTTATATTCCTGTGTAGCATCGTCCAATGGCACGACAGTGTGGGCCCGGTGGGTATGGGAAATTGCACATATCAAACATACGGCCTCCTGGTCCTCATAGCAGAAGAGGCTGAGGGCCTCGTGGTGCTGGGGGCAGAGGCTCTCATCCCGGATCTTCCGCTTGACAGCCTGGAGCTGCTTGGCAATTTCCACCATACTGCCTAGTTGGCGATTAGGCCGAAGACTGCGGTAACGGGATGTCTTCCGACAGACAGGACAAGGGAAGTCCCGCTCTAGGTCCTCCCACCAGCGGGTGATGCAAGCTTTGCAGAAGTTATGCCCACATTCAATGATGACAGGCTCCTTCAGATACTCCAGGCACACAGAGCAGCTTGCCTCAACTTGTAAGTTCTCCAGAGCTGCAGCTGTGGAGGCTGCAGAGGCCCCGGCCTCTAACAGGCTTGTCTCTGCCATTATTTAACTTGGGGATGGGTACGGAGACAGAGAAAGGAAAAATATTAGTTGGAGGATGAATTTTTTTTGCATCTCTGGATTGATATTTATCCCCAGGTTAAACCTTAACTCTAGATTTAACCCCATCTTGGTATTTTCCATCTTCTCTTCCACTAGATACAATCTCTTTTTCTCCATTTCTCAATTTGATGACTCTCAGTCTTTGACCTAAGTTTTATTTTTTCCCCCCTCTTCAGCAAACTGACACACAACTCCCATCTCTCTTCTCTTTTATTTCTGTTTCCTCTTGTTAGAAACACGAGTTTCCTTGAACTCTAGCCCAGCATACTTCTGGTCCAGTCTCACCCTACTTGTGTCTTAGAAACAGTAGTTCCAGATCATTGCATCTTAGTTTGAGATCTTATCCTAACAAACAGAAGAGGAGCATAGGAATGAAAAAGTGCCACATAAGTCGAGATATTAAGATTTCTTAAATTAGGTATATTCTAAAGTTTAGTGTCACATAAGAGTTAAGAGTTCATTGGAGCTTTAGCTTGATTCCCTGTCATTCCTGTTCCAAAGGGTAATAAACTGAATGAGTTAGGCAAAGGTAACAATCTCCTCTTTTAAGGAATGTTTGAAATTATTCTTCCTTTTACCAGGACTAGCCTAGAGGAAGAAGTGTGTCCTCTTCTTGGAATGAAATCTTTCATTTCTACTTGTGTGTATTTGAATATCTGGAACTGCTGAAAAGTGATAAATGTATAGCAACTCTATTAAAGAACACACCACCGAGCCTAGGGCAATAACTTCTTTGAAGAAAGAACTTTGGAGTCTATTCAAAATATTCAGTGGTGACTTCAAAATAGCTACTGATAACTAATTCCTTGGACATACTGTATCTGCAACTAATAGCCTTTGGAGCTTTGGAATTAAAACAAGAAAAGTAACGAGACAATCAAATCTCCTTCAGGTGAAGTCTCAGTGTTGGAAATGCATCCCGATGATTTATAAAACAGAAAACTGGTCCCCTACTCCATCTCTAAAACATCAACACTTTTATACATGGAGTAAGCTGATTTCTCTAGTCCTGTAACCCCTCTGCCCTCCACACCACACCCAAGAGACCCACCAAAGGAAGGAAATTTGGTAGGTTTATGCACAGACAGAGAAGTGACTACGTAATGAGTTGGATTAACAATTATTGTTTCTGTATAATGACGTGGGAAATGTTTAATTTGGAGTTAGAGCTGGTAAATTATTTGGGCCATAATTTCTTCCGTCAATATCAAGAGAGAAGTTCGGCTGGATGATTTTTCTCCACTCATTAGAATCCAACTTTGACTAGTCTGCTCCTTCCCCGGTCTTCTTGACATTAGGTGGCCTCCTGACCTGGATGACTTGATTGTATGCACATTTAGAGACCAGGATGGATTCAGACTGGCAAAGTGGTGGGAAAGAGAAATAAGGAATGCATTAGGGAAGAATAGACGACTTGGAACTGGGGGAATAGAGTGGAGAGGACAGCGAGAGTTAGGCCCTGGGTGCCTCTGGGTTGGTCTTTCCTATTCCTCATGTCTTAGGAGAAGGACAAACTTCAGGGACGTCCTCATTTTGTTTCTATTACTGTTCAGGTTCCACCTTGTGACCCTCTCATGAGGGTGGTCCACAACTCTGTCCCACCCCCATCTCCGTGGTCTCCGGCCATATCTGGGGCGGAGAAATTGGAGAGGTGAAAGAGGAAACGTCGTGGTTGTCGGGGAGGGAGGGATGCGTGTCCAGGTGAGAAAGAGGTGTGACGTGAAGGTGGGATGCCAGCCGCTCTGACGCAGCCGAGACCCGCGGTGACGGCGTCAGTTTCACCCGGGGAGACGAGCGGCAACGGGACGGGGGAACAGCGGGGTAGCCAAGCAACGCCGGACGCGCTGACGTCGCCGGGGCGGCAAAACGTCCGCCCGGGCCCTAGGCGGGCGGAGGCAGCTGTGGTTACGTGCGGGGGGCCGGTGACGCAGTTGCCGGGCGCTGGGACGCGGCGTGCGGAGCCGGCCGGTGTGGGCAGGCACCCGGCCTAAGCGCGGCAACGGGACAGCACCTACCTTCCCGGCTTCGGGTCCGGGAGTACGGGGCGCGGAGCCGCCGGAGAGCTGCCTCCCTCCTTCCTCCTCCCCTCGCCCCCGCCCCGCGGCGCGACACACAATACTCGCCGGAAGCGGAAGCGGCGCTGCGCGGAGACTCGTGTCAGTGGAAGCCGGGGTATCGGCGGGTTAACGCGCGAGGGCCTAGCGGTGCCTGCGGAAGAGGAAGGAGCGGGGCCGGAGTTGAGGACCAGCAGGAGTCGTCAAGGGTGAGAAGGTACGCGGAGCTGCAGGTAGCTGAAATGCCGGCGTCCAGATGACCTGAGGACTCCTCCGGAGATAGAGGACCGCGCATGCGCGTGATGGAAAGCTGAAGCCCATTGCTCGCTGGGCGTCGTACCGCCCAGGTTGGCGGAGCTGTTCTGTCCAGGTTGCGGGCCTGGACTCTGGCCAGGCGATGCTGATCCTGGTGAGGCTGGAAGTCGTCGAGGCCCAGATTGTGGGCTTTCGGCCACACTTTTCCTCTCTTCGGGTCAGTCTGGGGAAAGGATGGTTATTTTAGGCGGTGGCCAATTGCGTGGCGGACCTGCGGTCTCAGCTGGCACGTCACTTCCGACTAGTTCAGATTTAGCCTTTTAATGTTTAAGGAGCAGGTAGGCTCTTCCCATGGCAGGCTTCAGATGCCCCCTTGTTGCCCCTTCTTGGCGAGCTTTATCGAAATTGACTGCCTCTTCTGGGATGGAAGCTACTAGAGCGGATATCGCGACTCTGCTGCTCATCTTTATATCCTTACCTTCTCGCACGGTGTCCAACCGCCCCAGGCGCTCAGTAAAACTTAACCGGGTGAGCGCCAAGGCCCATTCTTTCCAATTTTAGGGCTGACTTAAGTTCTTCCATAATAGCAGACGATACTTGCGAGGGAGACACAAGACTTTTGCATCATGGTTTCTCTGCTTTGCTCTCCCGCGGCTGGATCTTCGAAGATCTGAGTTTGGAAGAAGTGAGGCAAGGGGAAGTCTGCTGGTTGAGGTAGGTGGAGTTGGGGAGGAGTTAATGCTGGGAGGGGTGTGACAATGCTGGTAGCAAAGGTAGTTTGCCTCTTCTGCCTTCCATAGTAGCAAGCAGAATGTTTGAAAGAGATAAGCAAATGTTAATGTTTAGGGAAAAAGTGGTTCTATTTGTTCCTGTGTAAGTTTTGTGATTCTGCTTTCAAACACCGTGTTGTATTTAACCTCCTGTCAGAAACTATTATTACAGAAAACAACATCACATTTCCAAGGTGTAAAGATTTTAGCATCACACATGCTAATTACAATAGGCCTATTTTTTTCTGACCTTCCTTTTCTTCTTCTTGCTCTCCCTTGGCTTCTGTCTCTGTGTCTGTCTCTGGTAGCTAACAACTTGAAGATTAAACTCGAGAAAAATAAATTTATTAACTTTTTTTCTGCGTTGCTAGTTTGGCTACTAGGGATTATAACAGCAGTACATAAACACCTGAATTCATAGGTAAGGTAGTTTGAAAGACTTTAATTGGGCAGTCAGTCTTGACTTAGGTTTGACTTGGAGGGATTGTGAGGCAGCTGAGATTTGAGTTCTGGTTTTGATATGTTAATTTGTAACATTTAAATTTGTAAGCCCTTCTTTCTGGCTTCCTGTTCATAGGGGACCAGGAATGCGTTTAAGGAAATTACCAGAGGTTGTGCATTCCTAAAGACTATTAAGAATGGGCTTGTCTGGAGACAGATTATTAAGGGAATTTTATACTGAATATGGAAGGAAAAAGGGGAGAATGTTTTGGTAAAATTAAAAAAAAAATTATGAAGATTATGTAGTATGATATAGAACAGAGGTTGGCAAATTTTTCCTATAAAGAGAATGTGTTTTTGTCCTTTCATCCCATACTCAACTGTCTTTATAATGTAAAAACATCATTAGATAATATGAATAAAATATAATATGATGAAATGAATGAGCTTGGCTGTGTTTCAATAAAACTTTGTGGATGCTGAAATTTGAATTTCATAATTTTCATGTGTCACAAGACATTTTCTTTTTCACTCCTTAAAAATATAAAAATGATTTTTAGCTTCCAGGACATACAAAGGCAGATAGTGGACCATAGTGATCCACTGAATAATAGTGAAGTATTCCATATTTTTCAAGAGAGAATAATTGGGAAAGAGGGTAAACATGGTGCTGTGATCTGTTATTTCCATCTGTCTCTTTATTTACATACAAAATAATAAAAGAATTTTGAGATTCTAACACAAATTTGTTTTGTCCTTTGGAACTTGATCACCTGGATTTGTAACTGTACCAAGATACAAGTATATTTTTAAATAAAGAAGGGTATTCCTTTAAAATTAAAAAGGGATTTTAGTTCAGGAAAACTGGAATAACACACTGAGTCTTAATGCTGATTTATACCAAGAGATTTCTAACACAGGAATAGACAAAAATGAACTATACTAATGAGATGAAAGGTAACTTTTAAAAATTAAATATATGGTGTAAATATTGTTTTTATATCAGGAAAGGAAAACAGAAGAGATGAAGCCATTGGATTTTTTATAGAAAGATACATGAGCTGTGAGGGTAAATAACTGGCTAAGGTGGAAAAGGTGAGGTGGAAAAGGTGAGATGGAGGTGGGTAGGGCTTAACTATCCAGACTTTGAGATTCTTATTCAGGAAAAGGCAAAGCATCTCATGTCCCCCTACCATTTTGTTCTGTTATGCTTGAATTCGGGACCCCCAAAAGACCACCAGAGACCAAGATTGATGTAAGCAGCAAAGAGGTGTTTATTGCGAACTAGCTCCGTCCTCCGCGCGCACACAGCAACTGGTAACGCTGAGAGGCCCCAGCCCAGGGTTTGCAGCAGTTTTATACACTCTTTGGGGGAAAGCAGGGACTTCACATACATCATAGCATCTCTTAGGAAATTATCACACTGCGGGAAAATCATAAAACAACTCTGAAAATATGATTAGTACATTCACTGGCAGGAACAAGTTGGGTAAGGGTGATTGGTTAGTACAAGAGGGGGATTCCTTTGAACTGATTGGTTTAAGCCACGAGGGGAGTACTGCTGAACTACATGGTTTCCCAACATGTTATCAACCACCATAATCTACTGGGAGGGTCATCTGGCATCCCAGGTATTTTCCCTGTTTCATGCTGATTGGTGGCTGCTAGGAGGTTGCTATGGGTCCCCACCTAGCCTGACTGAGTCAGGGATACCTGCCACAGGCAGATCTCTCCTGTTATTTGTAGATAACAACTCAGCAGGGTGGGTATGTGCCTAGGAGTGCTCTGTGGGTCTTTCCAAGGACAAGGGTCAGTCACGCCCCCCTTCCTTGGACAGGCTTTGCTCTGAGGCAGAGGCTGGTTTTTCAGTGCTTTTATTATGAAATATTACAAATGTACAGAAAAGCCATCTTCAGTTTGATTTTTATACTTCAAACTTGCTATCTTTTTAGGTCAGTGACATAGAACCACATCATTGTTTTTCAAGTCTGTATTGTCATGCCATTATATTAGCAGGATAAATTTTTGGAAGTTGGACTGCTGGTTCAGGAGATGTGGAATCTTAAAATTCTAGTACATCCTTTCAGTTTCGTTTCCCATCTAGCACATCATTCAGTTTTGTGTATGCATCTGTTTATACATAAACTAGTATATTATGAGACAGGTTAATCCCCTCTTGTCTGTGGTTTCACTTTCTGTTTTTCATTTATCTGTGGGCAAATGTGGTCTGAAATTATTACATGGAAAATTCTAGAAATAATGTTTCAAATTGTGTATCATTCTGAATAGTTGATGAAATTTCATGTTGTCTTGTTCCCAGGGCATGTGAATTATCCATATGACATGTATACCGCATGCACTACCCACCCCATTAGTCACTTACTAGTCACCTAAGTTATTGGATTAACAGAGGAGTGTGACATTGTAAAAGTTATATGTAAGTAATCCTTGCTTTACTTAATAATGGCCACAAAATGCTTCATTTAAATGAAAATGTGGAAGTTCTCAACTTACTAAGAAACAAAAGGAGCAAGATCCAATGCTTAGGTTGCTAACATTCATAGTAAGATGGAATCCTCTGAAATTTTTTTTTATAAATTTTTTGTTGTTGTTGTTGGAGATGGACACAATACCTTTGCTTTATTTATTTATTTTTACGTGGTGTTGAGGATTGAACCCGGTGCTTCACAGTTGCCAGGCAAGCGCTTTACCACTGAGCCATAACCCCAGCCCCTCCTGAACTTTTTTTTTAATATTTATTTTTTAGTTTTAAGTGGACACAATATCTTTATTTTACATTTATGTGGTGTTGAGGATTGAACCCAGTGCTTCACAGTTGCCAGGCAAGAGCTTTACCACGGAGCCATAACCCCAGCTCCTCCTGAACTTTTGAAGAAGCAAAATTCCTGCTAGTTTTACTTTTGCATCTCAATCTTCAAAATTTCAGCCACAGCGTGTGTTAAGTGCTTAATTAAGGTGGAAAAGGCATTAGATTTGTGATGGAAGACATGAATGGGAAACGTGATTAAAGGCAATGTGTTCAGCCAGAGCACTGATCTTATATGAACACTTGAGCAAGGGGATCCCCTGAAAGGAGTGATATCATGGGGTTTTATCCACTGGGGGTCTTGGAGCATATGGAACATATCCCGTCCCCTAATAAGGAGAGGGCAACTGTCATCTGTTTACCTGCAGGGGAGCTAGTGATGATATTTTCATATTAAAATGTATTCATTTATTATTTTTTCACACTTTTATTGGTAGATAGGAATTTACTTAGTTTCCTATTGACTGTTACTTCATTTTCATTTCTGCTTTAGTTTTTTTTTCTATTTTCTTTTTGTTGCTACAGCAGTGTTACAATAAAGATTCCCCTGAACATATGTCCTTAATGTGTGTTGGATTTATTTCTGTGAGAAAGATTCTTGTTGGAGTGTATTACATATTTCTAGTTGTAATACATGTTGCCATATTGCTTTTTCAGAAGGCTGTTCACTTTCACATTTCCTGACAGTAGTGTATGAGCCTGGCCCCTTCCCACCTCCCCAGCCGAGATAGGTATTATCTGTATTTTGTTGTTGTTGTTTGTTTGCTTGATATTGATGTCTATGTTTTTATTTTTTCTACAGCTAGTAAAGAGAAGTCTTAGTTGCTTGAATTGCATTTTCTCTTTAGTAATTAAAAATTTTATTTTTTAGTTGTAGATGGGCACAAAACTTTTATTTTTATTTATGTGGTGCTGAGGATCGAACCCAGTGCCCCACGCATGCCAGGCAAGAGCTCTACCACTGTGAGGATGGCCTTAGGCCTGAGCCTAAGCAACTCCATTCTAAAATTTATTTTTAAAAACTCCAGTTTGAAACCTCTAGTCTTACTAGGCATGCCTAATGGAGTCCTCCAGTGTGGCCTTCAGGCACAAACAAGTCACTTCTCACCCTGATAAACTCAATAGTGAAGCCTTGGTAGGCTGTCTAAGAGGGAAATGTGAAAAGATCAGGGTGGGGATGACAAGACCAGATGTTTTAACCCCAGGATAAATGATATCACTGAGAAATCCCATGGCATCTGATAAAGGATTGAAAGGGGGGGTCAAATGCCCCCAAATTTGGTATAAATAATAGAGCAAATGAACAGACATTCAGCCAGCTGATAATGATGCCCTCATGCTTAGAGCCTGACTAGGACGTGGACTGACATCCCAACACTTTTCATCATTTGCTGATCCTCTGCATTTTCCTCACCGCTCTCAAACTCTACAGCCACATCTTGACCCTGGTGAGAGCTGCAACTTCTTCCTACTCTCTCTTCTCTGGAGGCTGTCAGCTCCACCCCAGGAGAAGCCTACCTAAATTCCTGATCTGATCACCATCGTCTAAGTGAGTGTGTGTCTTCTGGGCTTAAAGCCTAAGGCTTAAGACTTTTGATCTG